CGCTGATATATACATAAAATTGTGAATTATGATAAGATATGATAGGTAAACTTTGCCGCGTCTCCGGGCTTCATGGGCACACCAAGGAAAAAAAGGTAACGTAAGAATTGGTGACAAAGCAAAGATTGGAGGTTTTTTTGCTTTTGTAGATTTCAAACTGTCTAAACTGTTGACCACGACATAACTTAAACATTAGCTTGGAGGGTATGAAAGTAATATAGATCTTGAACATTAGCTTGGAGAGTATGAAAGGAATATAGGTAGGGTGGTCAGCTTGTAATCTCTTGTTGAATTATGGACAAACAAATTTTAACAGACAAACCGTTATCTAGAAGATCGACGTTTTACTACGGTATGGTGAAGATTAAGACGTTTTACATGTTTAATTAAACTAGGCAGTCTTATTCTTGTTTTTTTTATTACTGATTTGTATTGCAGATATCGGAGCTACCAGTTAGGCGTTTTCTTATGGCATAGAAAAATCTTGCAGTTTTCTATTGTTCGAACTTCAAATGTTCATGAAATTACTTTGCTTTGGAAATTTCAACTCACTCCTTTTTGATTTCTAGGACAACCGAACAATTTGCGACGACTGGTTAGAGTGGATTAATTTAGACGGCTCTTCTTGGAAGAAGCAAAGAGAAGAGAAGAAGTCCGCTACTCCTAACGCTAAATAGAGCCATTAAATACAGGCTACGATAAGACATTCCATCCAAGTGCTCTCACTTTCTTTTACATTGTATAGTTTATTATATCATGGTGCTTCCTCCATTCCATCAGATGTTCGAGTTAGTGTAGGAGTTTTTAATGTATATCAGTGAGATAGTAAAAGATTTGTGACAGTGTTTTTTTAATGCATAGTAAGATATTATCGGGTGCATGTGCATGTAATCATAAGCAGCTAGCCTTCGCCATTATAACTGGCATACACGGCTTTTCGGTTTTAAAGAGTATCTGAAGCTTAGTATACAGGTATGCAGGCTCAATGTAAGATCTGGATTATTTTCTACCGCTGTCGTCAACTCTTGCGCCATTTTTGCTTATCGTACCCTCCGCATCTCTTTCTTAAATCTGGCATCTTGTAGATGCATGCAGCTAAGATTTTTGAGCAACAGTCAAAGGTGAAGTCATCAATTGATGAAGAATTGATGATTAACGTATATTAAAACGCTTGCGGTAAGCGGAAGTGGTAGGAAGTTGCGAGCCTAATCAAAGGTCTATCCCCTTTCTTTCTCGGCGTCAAGTACGTTAGCGCACTTTTGCTGATGTCAAATGCAGCTGGATCAGATCCTGTTAATGATGACGTTGTGGATGGCTGAGTTTTCGGTTCGTCTCTTTAAAGCG